CTGCAGAGGTTAAGAACAGAATATTGGAAAAATTTGACAGTCTTCTTGAGGACCAAAAACTGCCTTTCAGAAATGAGTTCTATTTCAGGGGGAACATTAACAAACAGAATTTCACTTACTTAAAATGCTTTTTTATTCAGTGGAATAAACCACAATGGAAGTAGGAAGCTCTTAACTGAGTTAGTCTTTTTGAAGTGCTTAGAATTCCAGAATATACATTTATTCATTTGTTCCATTCATTCATTCACTCATTCATTTAACAGGCAGTTACTGAAAGCAAGTATGCTAGGAAAGGAGTGGATAGACAGAAGTAAAAGATTGACTTACATATGTAACATACTTGATTTTTTTCAGACTCCCAAGTTTATATATGTCTATATAAATTTATATACATTGTGTAAATATACGCATTTTTCCTTGACAGGGTTTGGCTCATTTGTGGAGAAAACTGTGATGCCTTACATTAGTACAACCCCAGCTAAACTCAGGAATCCTTGCACAAGTGAACAGAACTGCACCAGCCCCTTTAGCTACAAAAATGTGCTTAGTCTTACTGATAGAGGGGAAGTATTTAACGAACTTGTTGGTAAACAGCGCATATCTGGAAATTTGGATTCTCCAGAAGGTGGCTTTGATGCAATCATGCAAGTTGCGGTTTGTGGAGTAAGTGTATTCATTTCCTACGAGACAGTAGTTGTGTGAATCTGAAGTGTTTGTGTGAATATGAAGTATTTGTGTGAATCTGAAGTGTAATTGTACTATCATTAGGACAAAAAGGGAATCATAAGGTTATCATTGGCCAATTTTCAGAAGTAAATCTCTAGGATTTTCTTTCTAGTCCTTAGTTTGGAAGCTCCGCTGTAATGTGTCAGCATCATAGCAACACGCAAGCCTCTACTGACAGACAGTTAGTGGCTGTGCCTGAGTTGCATTGGCACGGGTCTTCTGCATGGAAGATGAGAATTCTACCACTGAACCACCACCGTGGACCACAGTGGTCTGATCCCATTGTACGTAGGGTTGCTGTGAGTCTGGGGCCAATCGGACAGCAGCTAACAACAGCAGACAATAGTAGGAAAAAAAAAAAAGACTAATTATGATCTCTTACTTGATTATCCCAGAGATGAACAGATTTTAATCCCTTAAATTTCCTACAGCTGCGGGGGCTTTATAAAAGCATATTTAATCCTTATGTCCCTATTTAAACCAGGAAGTTAATTCATTCCTACAGGGTTTTAAAAGTCAGACTGGCCATCATTTGTAACAGTGGGTGTCCTGCCTTTCTGGCTTTGTACTCGAGATGAAGTTGATGTTCTCTGAGGCATCACCAGAGGCTGGAAAGTACTCAAATGGAATAGTGGCTCATAGGCCATTTTCTTTTGGTCATTTGTGTCTGCTCATAGTCTTTGAAAAGGGGATAAAACTTTCCCTTGTCTCTTAGTAAATCAAAGTGAAAGAATTTTTTTTTTGGACATTTTGTTTTAGGTGAAAGCTTACATAGCAGATCAGTTTTCAATTCAGTAATTCATACACAAATTGTTCCGTGACATTGGTTGCAATCCCCGCAATGTGTCAGCACTCTCCCCATCTCCACCGTGGGTTCCTTGTTTCCATTTGTCCAGTCTCCCTGCCCCTCCCTGCCTTCACATTTTTGCTTTTGGGAAAATGTTGCCCTTTTGGTCTCATATGATTGTTTGTTCTGAGGAGCACATTTCCTCCCAGGTGTTATTATTTATTTTATAGGCCAGTCTGTTACTTGGCTTAAAGGTGGCCTCCGGGAGTGGCTTCAGTTCCAAGTTAGAAGAGTGTCTTTAGGGTAGTAGTCTCAGGGGTAGTTTATCTATCAAGCCAGTAAGTCTGGTCTTTTTTATGAATTTGAATTTTGTTCTGCATTTTTCACCCATTCTAACCAGGACCTTCTACTGTGTCCATGGTCAGAGAGGTCTGTAGTGGTAGCTGGGCAACATCTAGTTCTGGTTTCAGGTTAGAGTAGTGTGGGCGATTAGCCCTTTGGACTAATTGCTTACTTGTGTCTTTGGTTTTCTTCATTCTCCTTTGCTCCTGATCGGAAGAAACCAATAGTTGTATCTTAGATAGCTACTCACATGCTTTAAGACCCCAGATGATACCCACCAAACTAGGATGTAGAACGTTATCTTTATGAATTATGTTATACCAGTTGACCTAGATGTCTCTTAAGACTATGGTCCTTAGCCTTTAAGCCCAGTAGCTCAGTCCCATGAGGTGTTTGATTATGTCTAAGAAGCTTCCATACTTGTGCACCCTATGTGCTTTATTATATTTCTGAACATATATGCAGCACATACGAATATGTATGTAGAAAGATCCACAACCATACCCATACATGCATGGGGTGTACTCCCGTATGACCTCTCACACCTATTTAGCATACATATCTACCTATGTATCCACTCACAAATTACTGTTCGTTATTACTGTTGTTGCAGGGTTGTATATGTTATAGTCTTTACTGTAAAAAAAAAAAAAACCAAAAAACTACCCCTTTTGCTGTTTTGTCAATTCCAAGTCATAGAGACCTATAGGACAGAGTAAAACTGCCCCATAGGGTTTCCAGGGAGTGGCTGGTGGACTCGAACTGCTGACCTTTTGGTTAGCAGCCGAGTGCTTAACCACTGCACCACCAGGGTCCCTGAAGTTGTTTATTTTTTCTTACATACCTCTCAGTATCTTCCTTTGCCTTGGTCACGTGCTGACTTCTCTTGTATTGTGTATTGCCTTTCCCTTCACCAGAATTAACACGTGTCTACTATCTATTTATTGATTCTCCCGCTCTCCCCCTCCCATCCCTGGTAACTGTCAAAGAATGTTTCTTTCTTTGTTGCAGACCTGTTCTTGACTTTTTATAATAGTGGTCTCATACAGTATTTGTCCTTTTGTGATTATTTCACTCAGCATAATATCCTACAGATTCATGTGATATTGTGAGATGTTTCACGGATTCATCATTGTTCTTCATAGTTGCGTATTATTCCATTGTGTGTATGTACTATCGTTTGTTTATCCATTCACCTGTTGATAGACACTTAGGTTGTTC